TTCTTCATATGGAACTGATGATTTGCCTGTACTTCAAAAAGTTTATTTGTAAGGCCATAAATATACAACTAAAAGTGCTAATAATTTAAAAATGCCAACAGTGAAAAGATAATTTTCAATAATGAATTTTTAAGATTTGTGCATCTTTTCACTAAGCAATTTAGAAATGGAAGAATAAAGAAACAGTTTCTATCCTTATATCACCTTTTTGTCTCATGAGTGAAAAATAGAAACAATACATTTACATTTATGTTATTGCACTTACACTATTTTGTTGTGCTTCCCAGATTACAAGTACAGATATTGAAACAGAAAATGCATTGTGTGGAACATTTTCACGAAGAAGTGCCTTGAACCATCTGCCTATGTATTGGTGAGATGACAAGCAATGCTTCGAGTGGAAAGATGCTACAACGTTGTGGTGAAAAAAATACTGTTTGAGACTTCTGACCCTTCTCCAATAGACAGGAGGGCTGCCCTGCTATCTAGCGAATTCAGGTGACTCAAAATAGACATCTACATCACACACACCTGTAGACACAAACTTTCTAGACTCCCTTTAAAGACAGTGCAACAGAGAAGAGATTCCTGGGTATGATCCATCCTAAACTAGGCAGCAGTAAGAAATCAGGTGAGTGGTGACTTAAATGGCACCTCAAATGCATGTTGGAAATATCAATATATTCATTTGTTAATTGCATTTCTGAGAAACAAGCGATCCAGTAAGTGACAGAGCAACCACTAGAATGCCACTTCCATCAACACAATACATTTGATCAATGAACACCCGAGAAGCGTGGCATTTATGAAAGTACTGAGCGATGCTTCGTGACTAAATTGTTGACTTTATCAACAGTTCTGTGCAATGTTAAATGGCAATTAGATCTGTACTCATTATTATTTAAATTAAACCAGTCATTCTTTATTAGCAGTCTGTGGCATCCTGATGTATCTGAACAGAGGCGTTGTATTGACTGAAGAAAGAAACTGGAAAAATCCATAATAGTAATCAAGGTGGAATTTTGATCTGTTAGTAACTGAGCTCTTTGGATTGATTTAGGCCTTTCTACCTCATGAAATTATATGAAGTGTTGAAAATAATAATATAGGAAGCAATAACATTTTTCTAGGTGTTAAAGGAAAGAGATGAAGATTCTATTTCTAGTTAACCTGAAAAATTGTATAAGCATGAAGTCTCTTTGCCCACTTGCAGTAGTGAAAAATAGGGACAGTACATTTATATGTATTTTATGCCACTTTCATTATTTTTTTCGTGTTTCCCAGGGCACAGATAAGGATATTGGAACAGTGGGATTAAACCTTTTGGTCAAAGACAAAGGTAGTGACAGAGAAACAGGGAATTTCCCAACTTCCAGCTCCAAGCCTGTTTCTCCACAATTGTCCCATTGCTTGTGGGAACTGTGAACTAAACATATTTCCATGCGGAGGCTGAGAAGAAGATACAAGTTACTCATGAACAAGACTTCAAATGTTGCAGGATTTGAAAATACATTTTCTCACTGTAAGTTAGTATCTAAAACTCAAGCCTCGAGTTAGCTTTAAGTATCTTAAAGTGTCTTTTTATAAAAGCTGTCCTACTAAAATAATTTCCTTTATTTCTCGCACTCAAGGCAATCTTCACAGAATCACAAAATCACAGAATATTAGCAGTTGGAAGGGACCTCGAAGATCATCCAGTCCAACCTCCCTGCCAGAGCAGGATCACCTAGACTGGGTCACACAGAAACGCATCCAGGCGGGTTTTGAATGTCTCCAGAGAAGGAGACTCCACAACCTCTCTGGGCCGCCTGGTCCAGTGCTCCGTAACACGTAATCTGACATCGCAGATTATCTCTCTATCGATGCAGCAACACCGGTGGATTCAGCCGTTGGCTAATCTGGCTCATCTGCTTGTCCCTTCTTCATCAGTTTCACAGAGAACTAGAACTGCTCCCAGAAGAGAAAAAATGAAGATAAACTGCCTGCCAGTCCCATTTGGAGCTTCAGTAGTATCAGAATTTCTCCTGCAACATTGTATTTGTATGGAGGAGTTACTCTGAAGATGAAAGCCTCAAAGAAGGAAAGGACACACTTCTCAGGAGTTGTCAGTAGCTCTGAGATACTTCTTAAGTAGCTCATTATATTTCAAAACACAAAAGATACTTTTATATTAAAAGACAGGAACAGCATCTGATTGCATCTTCTGAACTTTAATAGGAAGGTCTTGACTTACAGTTTTGGAATTGTGTTACATGAGCCATCACACTGCTGTACAAATAAAAATTGAAATATTTTCCTAGTATTTCATAGAAAAGAATGAGTTACTGATTTCTAGGGCTGATAAGGAGCTCTATCAGATCACTGTGAGAATTAGAAAGCATAAGCTTTACAAATTCCTTCTTGAGACAAGGAGATTAACCAGAAGAAATTGAGCCAAAGAGTGCCCTTGACTGAGATTGCAGCAATACAGAATAAGGCTTTGCAGGGTGGATATGCAGAGTAGGTGAAATATGGCTTAGAAAATAAAGTATTGTTTCCTTATTATTATTCTTAATCTTTCCATGCCCTGTGTATACAGACGGTAAGCTTACAATCACAAATGTCAGTGGTAAGATTGGCATATTTCAGTTAAATAAACTGAAAAAGAAAGGTACTGAAAGGAGAACCCTTACAATGTGCTTTTTGGCTGCAGACATTTCATCCTGACATACCAGATTTTTAATGATGGTTACTTCACCATATCTTAATGTCACTAACAAGTAACTGCTTCAAATGGGAGCCTCATTTTGCAAAGCATTTTAAAATGCATGTCTCTCACCTTGCGAGCCCTGTTCATGAGCTCTGCAGCACAAAAATGAACTCATATGTTAAGCATATTCAAGCCCACAATGCATCCACAAATATAATGTCATGCCAATTTGCATAGTCTTTTGTAACCATATATAATAAAAAAATAATTCTGGAGACAAATTGAAAAATTCATAAAGGAATGCATAAGGACATCACAATATTCTACACATTTGTTTGCAGTTGAGAAAAAGAGAATCAATGTTTGCAGGGAGCAATTTAGACTTTGTTCCTGCCTCTTTAGTAAGAAGAAAATAATATTTCAATTCCTGATCGCCTAGAGTTTTTCAGAATATAAGTCAATGAACCTTGTTTTCCAAAGAGCCGCACTTCAGATAGCTTCATCCTTCTCTCAGCTAAAAATTTCCCACTAATATCTACATGGAACTTTAACGAATTTACCAAATGTATGTGTACTTTGAGAACACTGATATTTCAAAAACTAGGTTTTTAATTGGAATGTGTACTCTTGCAGGCATTTATAGCTGAAAGGGAGCTCATAAGTATGGGATTAGTCAAGTACAATAGAAATATGGTGACAAATGCAGGCAGTAGATGACCATTCAAGATTCTCTTTAACTCCTCAGTGTGGAGTTTTATAAACTATGTTATGTAGATTCCCTATTTTGGTATGCAATTTTTTTTCTTATTCAAACAAATTATGAATGTCTTTTATTAGCGTTTTCTGAAAATTAGCATTAGGATTAATTTTTTCTATTAAGTACCAGCACATCCTTTTGCGTAACTAATCTTTGAACTTCTGCTCTTAGGGAGTTTTTTTCCTTTAGAACTTTTAGAGACAATTGAAGGAGATGGATGTGACTTCAAATATAAGAGATTTTGCCCAAAAGCCAGCACATAATTGTCCAGGAATACGTGACGTATTCCTCCTGTCTGTATTTCTTTTCCCATGATTTACAGCAGTCATGTTTCACACTAACAAGCAGGCTACCTCATTGAAAAGTTTCTGAAAGCAATACAGCCCATGCAAAGTTGTTTATTGATAACATAATACCTATGTAATTTTACGTTTTATTGATTTTTCAAAAAATACTCAGAAATTTGCCAAAGATTTTTTACACAAATTCATCAAAATAGTCTTAAGTAATTTTACTAAGGTCACAGAAAATTGTGTGGACTGGTTTGCAGGTCCAGATTCAGCTGCTTTCAGGGGCCTAACTTGGAACTTGACACCTTAAGCCAATTATCTGGCCTTAGCAGGGTGCTTCAAGGCCACAGAGGTGCCTACAGGGTCAGAGAGGGAGCCAGATGCCGATGGACTTCACCAGTGTTTAACATGCTACTGCCTGCAGCACATGCTCACTGCAGAGTTGTGTCTGTAAACTGCAGCTCTACTGTGGTAGGAACGTTTTACAAAATTCATAGAGGCAATTCACCACCACGTGAGTCATTTCTGTAAAGGATTTTTTCCTTGGATTGTGAAGCTCCATCATCTTTCCTTTCTGAGCAGGCACATGATTTTTTTTGCCACCACTAGAGTTTTACAAATGCTCTTTCTAAGCTGCAGGCTTTGATAAATGATCTGATGTCAGCCTCTAGCAACGGATTAAAACTGAGACAGACATCTCCCATGTGTGCTGTGACTAACGAGGAGCACGGTAAGCAGCACAGCACACACAACCCTTATCACTGCCGTTCACTCCTCTTCAGGACACAGACTCCCCATGCACCTCTCCAACCAGAGCACATCAGCCCACAGCACCCTATTTTGTGTTGGCTTTGCATGAACTGCAGTGTTATTTTTTCCCTGAAAGGCAAATATGTTAAACGCTTTATGGGGTTTTTTTTCCTTCTTTCTGCATGAACAGTAGTATGTTGTTCCCATGCTTTTGAGATTTTGCTCACAAATTGAGAATTCAGAGTACGAAATGAAGGCAACCATCCCTGCGTGCTGTTACTGACTTTTATTGAGACCTCAGATAAAAGCAGCATGCTGTCATGAAAATAAAACAGGTTGTGGCTAAAAAATTAGTGATTAAAAGACAGTTATGAAGAATGATATTGCATGCTGACCAACATCAAATATCATACAAGAACCAGTTTTTCTGTCAAAGAATAAACATTATTTAAAATTAATTTTTAATGAAAATTTTCAATTAGATGGCACTTGAGGTCTTCAGAATAGTTTGGTTTCATTCCTTTTTATTCCGACCGTAGGCTTTCTCCATGCTGTCAGGGATCTTAAAGCAGGATTCCAGGAACAGTATGACTTTTCTAGGAAAGAGACTGATAAAACAAACACTGAATTAGCCTTATGGATTTTTTTAGAAAAATGTACTCTATAGAAATGATAAGTTTGTTATACGTGCTAAATACTTCTAACATCTGGCAATAACACATCAGGCACTCCCGTGTTATGACAGACCCAGTCATTTTGTGAAAGCCCAGCCAGCAGCAGAGGCAGACATTGGAGGCAGACAGTTCTGGCCCAGGCATTGCCCCCAGTGTATCATCCCAGGAAAAGTTTTGAAATTTCTATACCCAACTATAGCTTAAGATGTATATTAGAGACAGAAGTGGCCAGAGGAATGCTATTCACCTAGATGATTAAAAATTAAAACCACTGTTTCTTCATAATTGGGTATACATAACTGGATTGACAGCAG